CGCACCCCTCTGCTCATTTGCAAAATGGGGCTGCTAATACCAACTCTCTCCATCTCCCAGGCCAGGCGGAAGCAAGAGGAGAGGTGTGAAGTCCAGCTGTAACGCATCACAGCTTAGTTGATTAGAGTTAACGTGAAAAGTAATGAGTGGATCGCTTTGTCTTTGATCAGGAATCCAAGTGACTGAAGGAAGCACTGGGACAGTGAGTCTCTGGACTGAGGACTCTAGTGTCATGGCATACCAGGCTGTCCCCCTGAAGAGCCGAGTCCTTGTCACTCCCCAGCTAGCAAGCACATAAGAAATGGAAGCAGGAAATTCACAGAAGAAAAACTACACATGGCTGAGGAATATGTCAATATGTTTTTGTAAATTACACAGAAAATATAGGCATAACTAGTTGCACATTAGTTGCCTTCTCTAGCTTTTTGTAGTCATTGATTAATTCTCCCTTTCAGATTTCACAAATCTCAACTACTTGATTTTTATAGAACGAGATCGTTTCTTGATAGAGGCTTTTGCAATCTGGTCATAACCTACAGTAACATGCATTCTATCTTATGACCCAGTACACATACACATATACATAATTGAAAGGTTAAGAAAGCAATATTTTCATCATTAGGTGCAATGTCTCGACCTCTTTTCTATTTTTTTTTTCTGTTCTCTTGTATTTTTTTTAAAGGCTGGTTATGAGACCTGCAGAACTAATTCCATTACCCCACCAATAGTCTGAGGCCAGTGATTTGAGACCTTTGAGAGAACAAAGTTGGAGGACTGGCACTGCCTAATTTAAAGACTTACTACAGCTGGGTGGGAGTCTCACGCCTGTAATCCCAGCACTTTAGGAGGCAGAGACGCGTGGATCTCCCGAGGTTAGGAGTTCAAGACCAGTCTGGCCAACATGGTGAAACCCCATCTCTACTAAAAGTACAAAAATTAGGCAGGTGTAGTGGTTCATGCCTGTAATGTCCGCTACTGGGGAGGCTGAGCCAGGAGAATTGTTTGTACCAGGAAGGTGGAGGTTGCAGTGAGCTGAGATAGCACCACTGTGCTGCAGCCTGGGCAACAGAGTGAGACTCTATCTCAAATAAATAAGTAAATAAATAAATAAAACACTACAAAGTTACACTAGTTAAGACAGTGCTATTGGCAAAAGAATAGATGAATAGATACATGGAACAGAATAGAGAGCCCAGAAGTAGACCCACACAAATATAGAGAAGTGGTCTTTGACAAAAAAGCGAAGGCAATACAATGAAGAAAGGATAGGGTCTTCAAAAAATTGTTGTGGAATAAATGGACATCCACATGCAAAAACAAAACAAAACAAAACAAAACAAAAAAACGAATCTAGATCTAGGCCTTTACTCAAAATGGATCATAGACTAAAAGGTAACATGCAAAACTAAAAAACTAGAGGATGACACAAGAGAAAATCCAGGTGACCTTTGGCTTGATGATGAACTTTTAGAAAAACACCAGATTCCTCCATTAGATATGATCTGTGGAGGAAAATGACTGATAAACTGGACTTCGTTAAAATAAAGAACTTCTGCTCTGAAAAAAAAGAAAACAAAATTGAGATTCTTACCAGCCTCCTAAATGCATCGGCTTTTCCGGAAAAACCCAATTCCCCTGACACTCCTGTGTGTGGGCTTAGCCAGAGTGTGGGCATCGCAGTAGGGCTCCTCTCTCTTCACCCGTGGCCTCAGCAGAGCCCCCAGGGCCCACCTCGTTCTGGCACTCGGTCGTCTCAGCAGAAAGCCCCATCTGTTCTGCTCCCAGGAGCCACCCTTGGGTGCTCTGCAAATCCCTTCACAGTTATGTCTTCCTCCAACACGCACGCTGCTGTGACCGACTGCAGGCCACTCGGGCATCATGAGAGATGGCCACTGCTGCTCCTGTGGACGAGCAAAGTTACCCTCTTCCAGGAACAGCGTCAGCTGCAACCCATGCTGCCTTCCCCTGCCCTGGGGCATTACAAGGTCACACCAGCTCAGCCATTCTCAACTGGGGCAATTTTGTCCCCAGGAAACATGCAATGCCTGGATACATTCTTGGTTGTCACAAGTGGGGACTTCTGGCACTTAATGAGTAAAAGCCGGATGCTGCTAAATATCCCATCATGCACCAGGACAGCACCCACCACGGAGAATTATCCAGCCTTAATGTAATAGTGCTTGGATGGCTAATGTTACGTGTTGACTTAACTGGGCTAAGGGATGCCCTGATGGCCAGTAAAGCAGGATTTCCGGGTGTGTCCATGAAGGTGTCTCTGGAAGAGATTGGCATTGGAGTCTCCAGACAGTAAACAAGTTTGTCCTCACCAGTGTGGGCTGGCAGCATCCAGTTTCTTGAGGGCCAGAATAGAACAAAAAGGCGGATGAAGGGCAAATTCTTTCCCTTCTTGAGCTGGGACATTTGTCTTCTGCTCTTGGGCCTTCAATCTCAGAATGGATTTTACCACCTGCCTTCCTAGTTCTTCAACCCGAAGATGGAAGACTGTGGGACTTCCCAGCTTCCATAATCGCATGAGCCAATTTCCACAAAAAAAATCTCTTCTTATATTCCTTTATCCATATCCCATTGTTTCCAGTTTTCTGGATCCCTGACTGACAAAGTGTCATGGTTGGGAAGTCCTGCCCTAGATTTCTTTCTTTGGTCCTCAAAGCCTCGCCACAATTCCCATAAACCCTCGTCCTGCAAGAAGAAAGGAAACATGGAGAGAGTCACTTCTGGGAATGGATGCTGATTCCTAGGTAGATTTCTCTATTGACAGATAACTGTTGGTCAGGGGTTGGACACGACTAGTTCTCCTTTTTTGAGGATTTAAAATTGTGCTCTCTCTCCTCTATGGATAATTTTTTCCAGTTCTGTTGCTTCAAATATCATCTGAACACTTTCAACCCATAACTTTATTTCCTGTCTGGGCCTCTTTTCTGAGCTGTACTGGACATCTCAAATCACATGATATGAGCTGTCTGAAATTTAACTCCGACACTGAATCCTTGGCGTCCTTCATTTCCCCCCACCCAGTGGTCCACCCCCAGTCTTCTTCCTCTCAGTCCATGACTGTCATCACACCCACTGGCTTCATGACTGGGTAGTCACTCCACCCCCTGGAGTCCTCCCCTTCCCCAGCACCCTCTTAACGCGCTTGCACACACACGCACACATAGGGAATATTACCACGTTTCTTCATCTCAAACCCCTTCCTTCCCCCAGCCCATCCCGTAGAATGAATTCACTTGAATTCACTCCTGATTTGCAGGAGAGTACAGAAAGCCATGGAATGTGGTGGAACTTGGTGATCCAACTTAAATGGTCCAACGCTTTCATCCCTTATGTCCCTCTGATCCATTTTCTACCCCAGAGCCAGAGTGATCTTAAACCATAAGTAAACTAAGGTTACTGCTTTCTGGAAACGCTTCAATGCCTTCCATGACAGTTGGGAGGATACAGATTATGTAACATGGCTTGTAAGTCTCTTTCCCCCACTTTGAATTGTCTTTAGGGGCTGGCCTTCTCTCAGGGCCTAAGGAGATGCTGAGCTTGATCCTCAGGGGCTTTGCAGAGGCTGTTCCCTGCTCAGAGCCCTTCCCTCATTCTTCCCCTTACCAAGGATAATCACTTCTTCCGGTCTCAGCTCTTGTGAGACTCCAGGCTGGAGCATTTGGGAATGCATCCCTGGAGGGCTGACTTGCCATTCATCTCCTTTCCTTATTTATTTATTTATTTATTTATTTATTTATTTATTTATTGCATTTTAGGTTTTGGGGTACATGTGAAGAACATGCAAGATTGTTGCATAGGTACACACATGGCAGTGTGATTTGCTGCCTTCGGACCTAATCAAGCTCCACAGCTTCTGCACGGCAAAAGAAACAGTCATTAGAGTGAATTGGTCACCAACAGAATGGGAAAAAATTTTTGCAATCTACCCATCTGACAAAGGGCTGATATCCAGAATTTACGAAGAACTAAAACAGATTAACAAGAAAAAAAAAAAAAAAAACAAGCCCATTCAAAAGTGGGTGAAGGATATGAACAGACACTTTACAAAAGAAGACATACAGGAGGCCAACAAACATGAAAAAATGCTCGTCGTCACTGGTCATCAGAGAAATGCAAATCAAAACTCCTTTCCTTCGTTTCTCCAGTGGCTCCTGTGGAGGTTTGGAGACTCCTCACTGTCGCTCCGCTTCTCTCTCCAGTTCCAGTCCTAACAATGTGAACCCCAGGTGCCCCACCCCCGCCTGCTCCAGGGCCCCAGGATGAGCAAGGCGAGCTCTTCCCTGCATCTAGCCTGTGACAAACACCTCTGGTGACAGCCCTCTCTGCCTTGTTTCCAGTCCTTTAACGAGCTGCCTGCAGCCAGCCTCACTCTCACTCTGCTCTTCACACCCACCGAGCCCCATGCTTAGAGCAGAGCGCTGGGGGTGTGCCCGAAAGACCAGCTCCTAAGCTCCCGGGAGGCCGTGCCCGCTCAAGTTCTCAATGTTGCTTTCTCAGCCCTGCTTGGTGCTCTAATAAAATTCTATCAACTCTGGGTTTTTTTCTAGAAATGTGTCCAGATTCCACTCAGAGCATTATTTCATGCATCTCGACTATGATTTTGATGCGTTTGGGGAAGGAAGGTGAGTTCCTGGGTTCTGCTGATACCTGAACCTGGAAATCTTGCCCATATGGCTGAGCGCCGCACCAGGAAGTGCAGGCTAACTTTGGGGCGGCAGGAGGCTGTGTGCAATGCAGGCATCACCTCCTGCAGGGCTGGAGCATGTCAGATGACCTAATGGGCTGCGAAGTTGAAATCAGGGCTGTTTAGTAAATGGCGGGACGTTTGTAGAATTGCATAAGAAAGATCCAAGCTTCCAGGATTGGGGATGAATCCATCTTTTCAGACTGTGCTCTCAGGATTTTCAGAAGAGAGCTATTTCTCAAGATTTCCTTGACCTTTGTCACCATCAGGAATTAATGTTTAACTGGCACATGAGGCTGGAAATGCCAGAGGAGGGAAACGTGTGGCTTAGAGTTTCAAGACGACTGACCGCGGCTTCTCCACATCCCCCGCAGTCCCCGAAGCTGGAGAATCCCATCAAGGAGAGTAGCCCTACAAGGAATTCACATTCCGGGTGTGTAAGTCTCTGGTTTTATACCTACTCAGATGGTAGTAGGGGGAACAGCAACACTGTACCTTGACTCTCTGGCCCCACGTTACTGAACATTTGCTTAAAACTTAACTCGGTTGACGGACCTTGCGCGGTGCTTTCTCTCCTGCCGCAGGCTGGCAGGGGCTTTTGTTCTGTGGGGACTGTGTACTCAGTTGCTCCCCATGCACACAGTCACTCCAGTGTCACATGTCTGATGAGGCACTGGGAATGATGTCATGGCTATGGCTCAGCAGCAAACGCAGGCCAGACGTGGTTCTGCCTTGCACACGCACCGCCACGGGTGGTGGTGGGTATTTTATTCCCCAGAGCTTCTGTGTTTTCTGTAAATGAGGATTTTCATAGTATCTACCTTGTGAGGGTTAAATCCCACAATTTTATGGAGGCGATTAATCAACGTGAACTCTGCCCTTACCTTCCCAACCTCTGAGGCTCCGTGAGCGCTCTCTCCTTACCGTGGATGGCACGGTCTCCTTAGAGGTCAATTCCGTGTCTATCTATGCAGTGTGATTTGAGGAGAATTAGAAGATCTTTCCCACCAGCTTGCCATGTTGAGTACAACTCCCATCTGGATACATCAGTTTTGCAAAGAAATTGTTGCTCCCTATCACGCGTGAGTTAAAACCATCACTTCTGAGTGGTCAGTTTGCGTTGGGCTCTGTCTAGAAGAAGGTTCACGTTCTTCACCTCCAGTCCCATCCCCATTTCACAAGTAAGCACATAGCCAGAGTTGGGAAGGAAGATGGCACAAGGTCTTGCAGCTGGCGGAGACGAAATGTGAACGAAGCCTGTCTGTTCTGGGTGCTGTCTGGCAGCCAAGCAATCCAATGTGTCATTCCAGGGTGACAAGTGCTGGTCCCATGGCTGGGGTAAGTCCCTCCAGCATTCGGCCTTGCTCTCTGTGCTTCTCTGGATGAGGTGCAGGATAAAGGTGACCCTGGGCTGGGCGCAGTGGCTCAAGCCTGTAATCCCAGCACTTTGGGAGGCCGAGGCAGGCGGATCACAAGGTGAGGAATTCGAGACCAGCCTGGCCAACATAGTGAAACCCCTTCTCTACTAAAAATACAAAAAAATTACCTGGACCTGGTGGCAGGCACCTGTAATCCCAGCTACTTGGGAGGCTGAGGCAAGGAGAATCGCTTGAACCTGGGAGGTGGAAGTTGTGAGCCGAGAACCAGCCACTGAGCTCCAGTCCAGGCAACAGTGTGAGACTCGATCTCCAAAAAAAAAAAAAAAAAAAAAAGACCCACAAAGCAGATACATGACATTTTGAAACCAGGGAAATGTTGGTGCAGCTTAATATTTTCAGACCCTTAAAAATTACTAAATAAGTTTGAAGAGACACAGCCATCTGCCTACAGTGCCACCCCTGAGCTTCATGCCTCCCTGGTCTCTAAGAAAGGGGAGAAGCTCAGGAGTGTTGAATGCAGGCACAACTGTGGAAGAAGAACAGGGTTTTCACATTTTAATAAGGTCAATTGAGTAATCAACTCAATTAATTAATTAATTATGTAAAATGAGGACCGGGTGCTGTGGCTCACATCTATAATCCCAGCATTTTGGAAGGCTAAGGTGGGCGGATCACTTGAGCTCAGGACTTTGAGACCAGCCTGGGCAACATGGTGAGACCTCATCTCTACTAAAAATAAAAAAGTAAGCCAGGCATGGTGGCATCCGCCTATAGTCTCAGCTACTTAGGAGGCTGAAGCAGGAGAATCGCTTGAGCTTGGGAGGGGAGGTTTTGGTGAGTGGAGATCAAGTCACTGCACTTCAGCCTGGGCGACAGAGTGAGACCCTATCTCATGAAATAATACTACTACCAATAAAATAAAATTATAAAAGTTTTACTCCACCAAGAATATGTTACAATTCCAAAGATGTATAGAGCCTTAAACATATAAAAAAGATCTTGGTTCAACTATGGAGAGAAATCAACAAATGAACCATTTTTACCAATTATAATAAACTGGATGATAGATTTAGCAAACAAAACATTAGTAATTCTTTAGAAAATTTCAAAAACAAAAGTAATAATCTTGCTTTATTAGACATATATGGAATCATGTACCTAAAAATAAGAAAATACACTTTCTTCCCAAGTGCACCTGAAATATTTACAAAATCCGGGGCAGTATCAGAGCATAATGTAAATTGTCAACATCTATCAGAGAATTGCTCTCACACCAATGTGTTTTCTGACCAAAATTCAATCCAATTAATTAAATTAGAATTCAATTTTAAAATGAGCAAAAATTGCTATGTATGTCTGGACATTTCTTTTTTTTTTTTTGAGACGGAGTCTCTCTGCTGTCCAGGCTGGAGTGCGTAGCCCAATCTTGGCTCATTGCAACCTCTGCCTCTTGAGTTCAAATGATTCTCCTCCCTCACCCTTTGAGTAGCTGGGATTACAAGCACCTGCCACTATGCCCGACTGATTTTTGTATTCTTAATAGAGGTGGGGTTTTGCCATGTTGGCCAGGGTGGTCTCGAACTCCTGACCTCAGGTGATGCGCCCACCTCGGCCTCCCAAAGTGCTGGGATTATGGGCATGAGCCACCGTGCCAGGCCATCTGGACATTTTTTCAGTAGCTACTGAATAACTCACGTATCAAAAAATAAAATAAAATAGAAATTAAGTACTACTTATGCATACATGATAATAAAATACCAGCCCCTCTTCGTACCTGTGTCCCTCTGGTGTGTAGCCCAAGCCATGTGCAGGGTGAAGGGCACCCACCCAGGGAGCAGTGCAGCTCCAGCCTCACGCTGAGGGAGCCCTGTGCTCAGTCACCCACTGCAGCCCCTAAGCTCCTGGTCAGTCTTCCCTCAACAGGGTCTTCCTCATGGGAGCATTGCCACGGGGGAGAAAGAGAGGTCTGTGTTCCTCAGGACAGAGAAATTTTAGCTCAAGAAGTGCCTGGCTGTCCAGCTTGAGACTGTGCCCCTCCACAGAGCTCCAATGTTCATAGCTGGGACCTGCCTCTCCCCTGTAGTCATGACTGAACTCACAGTGTTTGGGAGGATGAGCCACCCTGCTGCTGGCTTCTGGTTCCCCCTGGATGGTGACTACTGGGCAGCTCCCGTCTCGCCCTCTGCGTAAGTGGACCTAATCTCCTTACTGCTTCCACTGTGCATGTGACCGCTGCCTGCGGGTCCCTGCGTGGCTGCTGGAGGGTGCTGCTTATTCACAGGCTGAGACCAGGGTCCCCTCACTTGTTCCACCTGCGGGTTCCCCACCCTGCAGCCCCGGTACCCATGGCATGTCCTGCTACCTTGAAGGCTGCTGCCTCTGCCCCAGCTCCAAGGGGTCTCTGCTCTACAGGGGTAACTGCTTCTTTGAAAAGATGCTGTTTAAAGTGAGAGGATGGATGGCTCTCCTTGGGGAATTTCTAGCTCTGGACTGTGCCACAAGCCCTGGATGTGGTCTGTGTTTGTGCGTGCATGCACGCACTTAGGTATGTGTGTGTGTGCATGTGTGCAAGAATGTGTGCGTGGTACGCATGCATGTATGATGTGCTATTGTGCATGTGTGTAGTGTGTGTAAACATGCACATGTGTTATTGTGCGTGTGTGTGCGTGTGCATGCAGGTGTGTGCAGGCATGAGTGTGTATGGTGTGTGTACACGTGTGTGTAGTCGGGGGCAGAGGCACCTGCAGGCTGCTTGTCATGAGTGGACCCTGTTCCCCACCCCTTCTCCTCTGCAAAGGCCCGGCCCTTTTCCTAGCTTCACATGACTCCACATGCACTTTCAGAAGAAACAGAGTCCTGCTCCTTCTAGCACACCCATCAACCAGAGGTGGGAGTGAGGGCGGGGAAGATGCTCCTCCCTGTTTCTGCCTTATGCTGGGAAGAGAGACAGAGCTCCAACCATGTATTAGATGCTGATAGGCTTAAGGGTAACAGCACGGGACTTTGAATGAGATGCAGGTGGCTCAACACCTAATCTGCATCTGGCTTCACTTTCTCATCTAGGGAAGTGGGCTTGGCACCCTGAGCCTCCAGGGTATCGCAGGGTCCTAATAGTCCCTCACAGAAGGAGCAGGCTCAGACTGAGCATTCCCCAAATGCCAGGCTACCCTCCTCACCCCTGGGGTGGAGCCTGGGGGTTCTCAGAGTTGCTGGGAGAGTCCCAGGAGCACTGCCCGCGAGTCTGCGTCCCACACAGTGCCTGGGAAGACAGGGCCCATTTTTCCCTGGGCTCTCCCCAGCCCCTGCAGGCTCTGCTCCTCCTCTCCATCCTGCTAGGATGGCTCTCTCTCCCTGGGGGCAGAGTCGGGGCAGGAGGTGGTGAGAGGGTGGAGAGATGCTGCTCAGTAAATAATGCAGAGCCGGCAGCTCTGATTGGCTTCAGGGAGGCGGACACTGTGTCTACATAAATGGCAATCGCATCCTCTATGCCTCTTAACTGTCACTGTGGAGAGGAGAGAGAGAAGACAGAGAGCAAGCCACTCCCGGCTGCCTGTGAGTACCGCTCTTTGTACTCATGGCTTGGGGACCAGACTCACACGTCCAGCTCCCCAGATGGCCATGACCCTGGGGCTTGGGGTGGGAGGTTTGCCAGTTGATTCTAGCTGTGTTGAGTTCTCCTCCGGCAGGAGGAAGGAGGCTCTGCCGACAGGGACAGCTGAGCCTCCAGTGTGTGCAGGTGGCACAGGGTTTACAGAAACTTTTCAAGAAAATAGGCACCAACCTAGGTCGGCCGCTTTTTTGTGCCATCTGTGAGCAACAGGTCAGGGAAAGAATCCCAAACTTTGGGTTGCTTTTTAGGCTGTATTCCTAGAGCCATGACAGCAACATAACCAAGTGAGTGGAAATTATTTTCCAGACTGGCTCGTGTGCATGGAGAGCCCACAGAGGCCACGCGGTGGGTGGGAAGGGAGGTGGTGCAGCCTCCCAGACCCAGGTTTGCATTCAGGCGCCCACTTCCCCAGCTGCCTTTCCTCCCTCAGAGGTGAGGGAGAGG